GCGTGAACAGAAGAAGGGAATACCAGGTGGTTTACAATCAAGAAAGGTGTGCATCAAGGTTGCTTCCTTTCACCATATATATTCATGCCATAAGATGAACAAATAATCTGACAAGCTGGGCTATATGAAGAAGAACACATAGTCCTGAGGATTGAGGGAAGGCAACCTGCAATAAGAGGGGTACCCCCCAAAACTGGGGAAAAGCTCCACTGGGCAGAGCTTTGTAGTACACATTTTCTTGCTAGGTGAGCATCTCGCTCTGAGTTAGTGCACCCAGTGATGGTGATTGGGAAGGTTCTCTCTGGGTACTGATTTTTCCCCCCCCTTAAAAACAGTTTCCCTCAAACCTTATTTTGTTGACGATTGATTTAAGAGAATAGCATGGAGCTGTGAGATTTTGTTTCGTGTTAGGGATAATGCCCCATCAACTGTTGTGATGTTGAACACAGCTTACAAGGAGAGTGCGATAGGAAAAACTCAAGTGTGTGAGTGATTTTCTCATTTCAAAAAAGGTGAAATGTCGATTGATGACAAACCTCATTCTGGACATCGGTCACATTCCCGAATGGATGAAAATGTCAACTTGTAGTGCATCTGGAGTTCATTCTACCAGGTCAGACTGTTAATCAAGCTTTCTATTTAGAAGTTCTGAAAAGACTGCATAACAGTGTGTGACGAAAAAGGTCTGATTTGTGACAGAAGGGGGACTGCTTTGGCTCCTGCTCATGCAGCCATCTCAGTGCACTCGTTTTTTGGCAAAAACCAGCATGCCTCTCTTGCCCCCGCACCTTACTCACCTGTCCCCACTCTGTGCCACTTCTTTTTGTCTTGGCTAATGCAGAGGGACAAGAAAGGATAGTGATTTGATGAACTAGAAGAGGCGAAGAAAAAATGAGGGAGGTGCTGTCAGACATCCAAACAAATGAGTTTGAAAACTGTTTCCAAGAATGGAATTAAAGATTTTTAATAGTATTAAATGTACTGGAGAGTACTTTGAAGGTGATAAAAAATTTAAATACATAGGTTTGAAAAAAAATTCCATTTTGCGGGGGAGGTACCCCCTCATCTGTAGGTGACACAACCTTGCTTGCTGAAAGTGAAGAAGACTTGAAGCACTAGCTGATAAAGACCAAAGACTATTGTGGTGAGAGATTAAAAAAAAAATCAAAGACTGAAACCTTTATTATGAATTTCACCTCAATATAAGAAAACCCCAATCCTCACAAATAGATGAACAGACAGCATCATGATAAATAGAGACAAGACTGGAGCGGTCAAGGATTTCATCTTGCCTGGATCCACGATCAGCTTATGGAAGCAAGGATGGCGAGACTTTATCTGACACACTTTGGATAAGTGGTCACGAGAGATGAGTCCCTGGAGAAGGACATCCTGCTTGATAACATGGACGCTGAGCCGACAGGAAGAGCCTCCGTGAGATGATTGACAAGAGGCTGCCACAACGGGCTCCCCTGAAGGAACAGCTGTGAGGATGGGGCGGGGCTGGGCACGGTTTCTATCTGTTGTGCAGAGAGTCACTACTGACTTGATGGCA